TACACACACATATATATATACACACCATATAAAAAACATTAATTTCAAATCTCACTAAAAAAAAACCAAAACCACTATATTTTCTATACAAACTGTGGTAATAGGATTTCCAGTCCCCAAAAAAAATCTATAAAACCATACCAAACAAACATTCTACTTTTAGATTAAGGGGATCTGAATATATGAATAGTTATGTTCAAATGAGGACTGTCCAAAGAATTTTTCTTGACTCCTCAGGGCACCTTTTCTGTTATGTATCAAGATATCAAGAATTATACTGTAAAACTATGACAAAATATCAGTCCCATGTGCAAAATATCAGTCCCATAATGATAACATTATGGTAATGTTATCAAACCTATAATAACATTGCAGTTTTTTGTCAATCAAAGAAGGAAAACAAAAAAATTTATTTTAACAGTTTTAATAGTTGGGCTCTTATTACTATAATGTGTCATACAAATGAATTTTATTAACAGTTTTATTGGAATATAATTCATCCATTACCTTTCAATGTGGACAATTCATTGATCTAAGTATTTCCAGAGATAGGAAACCATTATCACAATCAATTGTAGAATTCTTCCATCATTCCAAACAGAAATTCTATATCCACTAGCTACTACTCTCCATGCCGGCTCCCCATTACCACTCACTTACAATTTCTGTCTCCATAAATTTTCTCATTCTGGATATTTTATATGAATAAAATCATAGCATATGTCATATTTTCTCAATAGCTTCTTTCACTGAGATTTCCAGATTTATCCATGTTTGCCATGATCAGCCCTTTATTCCTTTTCATTGCCAAGTAATATTCCTTCATGTGCATATACCACCCTCTGTTTATTCATTCATTAGTTGATGAACATTTGAGTCCTTTCTTTTGGGACCGTTATGAAAAATGCTGTAATGAATAGTTGTGGGAAATGTTTATGAGGACATATGTTTTCATTTCTCCTGAACATATACAACTAGGAGTATAATTGCTAGGTCATATACTAACTCTATGTTTAATCTTTGAAGAAATATTTTCCAAAGTGGTTGTATTATTTAACCTTTTCACCAGCCATGTATGAGAGTTTCAATGTCCCTACTTTCTCATCAGTATTTGTTATCATCTTTCTGATTTCACTTTCCTACATGACTCATTAAGATGCAAAACATGGAAATACATTGAATAAAGAAAAATCTCTGATGTCAAGGGAAAAGCATGGAGAGATTAGGAATAGATCCTGCAATCAGGCTGGAAAAGAAAGCAGAAAATATTTTTTAGGTCTGTTACTCAACTTACTGTTCTTATGCAAACAATTGCACTCACCCAAAGGTCAGGACTGAGGAGACAGCTTAGTCTTACAGCTCAAACTTAAGTTAATATGTAACAACCACTTGGTTGACTGATTTTACAAAGTTCCTTGCTATGTTATATCCCATTTGATTCAACACCACAAATCTGATTTGGAAGAATATTATTTTCACGTTTTTATTTAACCTTTATTGAGGTTAATGAGTTTGCCCAAGGTAATGCAGTTAATAATTCATACATACAAATGTAAATATATGCATATAAAATAAATAAAATTCGAAGGTGGGTCTGGAATTTGTTTTAAATCCCTTGGCTCCCTCCTTCTTATTCACTTTACCTCATCTTTATTTTTTTTAAGGATTTATTTATTTATGCATACAAGGCATACAGGCCAGAGGTATGGGAGGTGAGAGAATTCACCAGAGACAGAGTGGGGAGCAGAACAGGAGGAATGACTGAAGTAGACTGCTTAGGGGAGCAGTGGACGAGGCAGAAGAGGTCTGCTGAGCCATGTGGGTCACTTCCTGGCCAGGCCAACTCATGCTGGAGTGGCTGCAGATAGCTTCATAGTGCTGTGCTTTAACCCCTTGCACCACCAGGGAGGGCCTATTTGTCTTATCTTCAATGACCCATAAAGTAATGGAAAGTAAAAAAGAAGGTAGAGGGGACCTGTGGGTGTACCTGTGGGTGTACCTGTGGGTGTATGTGAAGCAATTAGTGGCTGGAGGCCTGTTTATCTCACAGTTCCACAATTGGCCTGGGAGAGAGCAGCTGGGGCCAATGATAGCAAGCCTGGTGTGGTCCTACTCTTGATAAGAAGCATCTCCAGTAATCGAGAAGCCTGTGAGTAGAAGCCCTTAAATCCTTGCATTCTGATTATATTTCTCTGTACTCAAAGTAGTATATTTAAATACATAAATTATTCACTAAAATATTAAGTAGTCACTCCATGCTAGGCACAGTGCTTAGATGACTGAAATTAAAAAAGCAATGTTGAGCCCTCCCTAGTGCCACAGTGGGTTAAAGCCCAGCACTACGAAGCAAAAGCCACTTAAGCACAAGTTCAATTCCTGGCCACATGATGCAGCAGACCTCTCCTGACCCTCCCACTGCTCCCCTTAGCAGTGCACTTCGTCAATCAGCCTGTTCTGCTCCCCACTCTGTCTCTGGTGAATCCTCTCACCGCCCCTGCACCTCTGACCTGTACCCTAGTTCTGTATGCATAAATAAATAAATCTTAAAAAAAAAAGCAATAATTACCATGCTTCAAAATAAAATTAAATAAAAGCCATTTACATACAAGACTTTTATGTATAGTATCTCATTTAAACCTTACAAGTACAAGTGGAAACTGAGGTACAGACAAGGTAAGTAAATCATCCCAAAATCAAGAACTAATTAATAAATCAGGAGGCAGAATGAGAATACAGGCAGCCTGGCTCTATTCTGTGTTCTTAACCAAGGCCCAGTTCCTTTTGCCAGCTCTTGCTTGGAAGACATATGTGGTGAGGCATGAAAAGCAATAATACTAATTAATTCCAGCAACTATCTGTTGAGTGCTTATTAATACATGAAGCCCAAGGGCAAATTCTCACAACAATACAGGAAGTACTTCTCTTCATTACCATTTTATAGATAAGGAAACAGGCAAAAAGAAGTGAATTAACATGTCCAAAGTCATAGAGCTACAGCAGGAAGGTCAGCACAGTACTTACTGCCTAACAGGCATTATTCTATGCCCAACTCATCAATCCTCATAACAATACTATGAGATAGATTGATTACTACCCATTCTTAGTCTGTAACTTGTTCAAGGTTCCACACTCATAAATGGCACAGCCAGGATTCACTCTAAACAACTTAATGTGGACTCTTATCTGTCTAAACAACTCCAGTTGAGAAAGAGCCCTCTGTCCTCTCAACAAGCTAACCATGGTCCTCAGAGATGCCATAGTGCAGTGGGGTACTGGGGAAGAAGGGAACCCAGGAAAAAGAGACATTAGGTTGCATCTTGGAGGTGGTGGCACTATGCAATTTAGTAAGAAAAGTATCCTAATGAAGACTTTGAAAGACAATATAATGAGAAAATTAGCTAGACTATTATAAGAATTTTTCTTAATTCATGCATACAGAATTAGGGTACAGGCCAGAGGTGTTGGGGTGAGAGGGCTGACCAGAGACAAAGTAGGGAACAGAACAGGAAGACTATTTGAAATACACTGTTGAGGAGAGCAGCAGGCAGGTCCAGAGAGGTCTGCCACGCCATGTGGGTCACCCCCCTGGCCAGGGATGAAGGCTGCTGTAGTGGCTGCCTGTGCTTTAATCCATTGCGACACCAGGGAGGGCCCTAGACTATTATAAAGAAGGTTTCAAAATTGAATCCAAAAAGCTTTATTTTAATACTTACTTATCAATTAGAAAATATGCTTGATGAAGGAAAATAAAGTTTAATTCTGGCTGTACATGAAAATATCAACAAGGACAGAAATAGTCAACTTGCCTTTTCTAAACATTAAACACAATTCATTCTGACTTTCAATATTTACTTGCAGGACCTAAGTGCTGCAAACAGGGGGTGATTTCCAAACTTCAGAGATCTTTACAGGATTCTCTATCCGTCAGGTCCTCAAACACAGCATTGGGACAGAAAGGAGCCTGGTGACTAAGGCAAAGACCTAGAAGGAACACTTCTTTCCGGCGGGCCAGGGGCCAGCAAACAGGCTGTGGTCAAATGCTGCAGAGCCCGGTTTTTTTCCCCTAGCAAAGTGATTTATGACCCCACGAAGAAGGGCAGCTGCAGAACCGGTCAGATCTAAGTACAGTTCTCAAACATGAATCCAAGAAGGGCCAGGAAGGGACAAGAAAAGGGGGGCTGGAGGGGGGGGGGTAAGTCACTGCCTGTCCTGGGAACCGTAAGACCTCTCCAGTCCTAATTCTTCTAGCAGTCAGGGACATGGAAATTACCGCCCAAGGTGTGAGCGTGAGGAGTTGACACAGCAGCGGGGCATCCAGACAAGGTGCGTCCACGCCCCCTTGCGGACCCAAATTATGGTCGATAAGGCTGTGCCAACTAAATGATAGGTACAAAAATTAGAAACAGCCTCTCCGTTTAAAAGCCCCCACCCGGATCCTGCAAGGGAGTCGCAGCGATCAGCCCCATTTCACAGGTGAAAGCATGGAGGCTCGGGACAGTGAAGCAAGACTTGCCAGCAAAAGGACACCTCAGTGAAGAGATGGCTGAGCTGACTGCTTTTATCTAGTAGGAAAGAAGCAGGAGTAGGAGCCGGCTAGGGAACCCACACCGGTGAGCCCTCTTCCTCCCTGGGAGGACTAGGTGCGGCTGTCAGCTGGAAGCCTGGCAGTGCCCAGGTGACCGGGTAGAAAGAGCAAGAGGCGCGCGCGGTGGTAGCAGCGCGTCAGTGGAGCTCCCGGCTGCAGCAACCCGGCTCGGGCGCAGCGCGCACCACCAGCTCGCCCGCGCCTGCCCGCGATCTCCACGCGGGTCTGGAGTCCACCGGCTCCGGGCTGCAGCCGCTGAGCGGGGGCGCAGCGCGGACTATCCCCGCGCCTATAGCCGTCCCGGAGCCCCGCGCGAGTCGTAAGCCACAAGTCACGGAGCGCGTGCGCGCGGAACTGCTGCGGACACGGACTGGCAGTGCCACCGCGAGCCCACTGGCGCTGCCCCTCGCCTTACCGTAGCTGCTCCCCGGTGACCAAGACCTCAGCCATGCGCTCCAGCTCCCTCTGCTGCGCCCCGCTACTCCCGCCGGTGCTGCTGTCGCTGCCACCGCTGCCGGCGCTGCCGCCCTCCTCCATGGTCGGGCCACGCCGCTACCACTGTCTTCGCTGTCCGCGGCTGGTTCGGGTGTTGAATCAGCCTGCCCTCACAGAGGCCTCCCTCGCCATCTTTGTTAGGGGCATGCCCAATGCTCAGATGCGATTGGCTGAAGAGGGAATCCCGGCGGGTGGCTGAGGTGCTAAGCGAGTCCGCCCCAGGAACTCCAGCTTGGGGCGTGGCTCAAGCCCCGCGTGGTCGGGGGCGGGGCCAACGGCGGAAAATATAAACATCTGGGCGGGGCTGGTTATGCACTGAGTGTGCGCTGAGGTCGAATGCGGCGAACCCCGTTTCCTTTACCCTTGAAGATCTTGCAGTGGGGTTCTGGGCACAGGATGAGAGATTAGACCAATGGAAGTAATTTTTTTGCGGTTCGTGGCCCACATTGTCAGCTGCTGTACAAAGGTACACGTGTCACTGCAGGACTTGGAGAAATCAAGCATTCTTCCTCCGTCCCCAGCCCTGTCGGCGAAGGCTGCTTACTTACCGTGTGACGTATTCAGTAAAGAACACGGGCCTGGGCGTTAGACCTGGGATCCAGCTCCACCCCTGTAATTTCCTGCCTAAATATGTTTCATTCTCGTTGTCTTCCCTTTACAAATTAAAGATAATTGTGACTATTGACATCATGAATCTGCTGCATTAAAGATACTTAAGGTAGTTGTTAGCTTTTAAAATTATTGCAACAGATCACAAAGTAGATACTGTCTTCTTTTTAAATCAGGGAACAGATTTGGGGTAATTTGTCTAACCAAGGCAAGCAAGTAACTGCAAGAACCATCAAACCCAGGCAATTCTGGTTTCAAAGTTGTGTTTTTTAAAAGACTACCTCTTGAAGTAAAGTAATGGTATTGTCTCACTTACAGAGACTGTGGAAGAAACTTTTGACTAATACCAAGTAAATGTCCTGTTTTTCCCTGTGATGTATGTCCAGCCCCCGGTCTGTGGAAAAGCCAAGTAATGCTGACAATGGGCATCGTTGCGATAAAGGGTTATTTATGTGTACACTTTTTATAAAGCTTGCTGCACTTTTTATCTATAGTCAAGACTCTGTACTCTGACAGCAGGTAAATTTGGATTGTTGTTGTCTTTTTCAACTTAATACTATCTTGAAGACATAATCTCTCAATTGCAAATATGTAGTAGAATTTATATAATAAAAATGAAAATGACAGAACTGTTGAGAACCAGCAGTCTGTATATTTTACATTAATTCAATTATTCAAAAATACTTATACCCATTGTCCTGAAGGCTTGTTATAGTTTTTTGTTGTTGTTGTTTTATTTTTAGAGAAGACCACAATAACCTTTTCCAACATTCTAAATGGTCATTCCTTAAATAAACTTATTGAATAGAATTTGCAACATTTCTTTCAACATTTATTCTGTGCTTTAGATTTTGGGCTTTCTCTATTTAATTCCAGATGTGTTTTCATTTAAATTTGGTCAACGTTCTTTATCTAAAAAATAAAAATTAATTCTTAATAATTTCTGATTTGAAGAAAAGGTATATTGAAAGAAACATTCATAATAGAGTTTATGTTTTAAAAAATTCCCTTCCAATATGTAGGTGAAAAATTCAGGTCAAGAAAATACCTATTTCCTCTACAGCAGTAAGAGCAAGAAAGTAGAATTTATTTATCTTGCTTGATGTGAAGGGTTGTTTGTGTGTGTGTATGTCTATGTGTGTTTACAGGAAGTGGGATGGTTTACTGCCGCGGTTTTAACCTTTCTTTTGACGTAAAATATGCATCATGCTCTCTTGCCTAAGAAGACCAGCCCTTTTCCCTAATTTAGGAAGAAATTGGTGAACTGATTCCTAAGTACATTTGAACACCATTCCCTGAACCAGGAACTCTGGAGCAGCTGGGTCCAACGAATGCTGTGATCTGTAAGTGTGATAAAAGAGAGCAGAACACTGACATGCTGTTAGTTAATTAGCATGAGGATATCAGAAGGGCTGAAAATTCTAACAGACTTGGGATGAATCCTGGCTTCCCTAGGCCAAGTTCATTGCTCTCTCTGAACTTCCTATCTTGCTTTGTAAAGTCAATGGATGGCTATACTACCAAATCTATTGGTTGAGTTAAAAGGACTAAATAAAATTAAAGGAGTCCGCTACTTATAAAAGCCACCCACTCAACTGTTTCTGGCCTTTTGTCTACTGTAGTACTCTAGGGCCAGTGCTTCTCAGGCTTCTGGGGGAGGACAAAGTGTGTGTGTGATGTTTTCAGTCCATTGTACTAATACTTTAGTAAAATGCAATAAAAATGCAAAAAAGGGCCCTCCCTGGTAGTGCAGCGGGTTAAAGCACAGCACAAAGAAGCTTAAGCCACTTCTGCATGAGTTCGATCCCTGCCTGCCCAGGAGGTGACCACATGGTGGTGTGGCAGACCTCTCCTGGCCCACCCGCTGCTCCCCTCAGCAGTGTACTTCGTCGATCTGCCTGTTCTGTACCCCACTCTGTCTCTGGTGAATCCTCCCACCCTCCGCATCTCTGGCCTGTACCCCAGTTCTGTACAAATAAATAAATCTTTAAAAAAAATAAAATAAATTAAAAAATGCAAAAACAAAACAAAACAAAAACAAAAAACATATTGAGCACAAGTCCAAAATTGTTACTACTATGGGAAGATAGGAAAGTACAAATTGCATAATCTTTTCTAAATGATTTCCCTCCCTGTCTGTATATCTCAGCCTCTCTTGTCAGTAATAAAGTAATATCAGTCCCTATAATACCATGCTCTGCATAGGGATAGTTAAGGGTGAGCAGCAATGAGAAATGAGCTGGAATAAAATGTAAGAATATTGTCAGCTATGTCAGTAATGATGCTATGTGATCTGTCATGGTTGCCAACTCTTAGTATCTATCTGTATTATTCCCACTTGACTTTAAAGAGTAACTCAAACCCCATCTTCTTGGTGGCATTTTCCTGAACTTTCCCAAGCAGTTTGAAATTCTCATGCTATCTCAAGATTCCCATTGTTCTTTAACTATTCATGGAAGTCTTGATTCTTCTGTTGCCACCATTCTTATTGTTTGTGCATGGAAGATGGATGGCTTATCTATTTCTGTTGACCAATCTCTTATGAAAGAAACTTGTCCTTAGAAACAAGATAGAGAGGAGCCTCCCTGGTGGCGCAAGGGGTTAAAGTGCAGCACTGTGAAGCTGTCTGCAGCCACTGCAGCAGGAGTTCGATCCCCAGCCAGGGAGCTGACCCACATGGCACAGCAGACCTCTCCTATCTCCTCGCTGCTCCCCTCAGCAGTGTATTTCAGTCAGTCTGCCTGTTCTGCTCCCCACTGTGGTGATTCCTCTCACTGCCCTTTACCTCTGGCCTGTACCCCAGTTCTTGTATGCATGAATAAATAAATCTTTTTTTAAAAAAAAAAAAGATGGAGAAACATCCAACTTCCACGTGGTCCTCACACACATCCATTTTTAGCATGTTTGATTCATCTTTTCATAGTGACATTTCAAATAAAGTTGATGTCTCTTATCCTCCAGTCCCAGACCCATTCACCTCCCACAAGTCTTACTAATAACCTTGAGCCCCTCCAGTTCTTGATGCTAAAGGGCTGTTCAAAAATGTCTTGTTGTTGTTGCTGTTACGTGCTGCCACCTAGTGATGTCTATTATAATGACATTGCTTTTCCTAGAGAGAACCTGCTGCTACCCCCAAGAGGACTTTTTGGGAAATGACTGACTTTTCTTAGGCAGGAACTATAGTTGCTAGATATTTGCATTTTGCTTGGGACAGTACCTTATAAAGAATTGTCCTAAATGCCAAAGGTGTTATGTTTTGTAGGATAGTCATGTGAAAGAAAAAACCTTTTACTGTTACCTAATTTGTTTATATAAGGAAACAAAGTACTTCTTTTTGCACAATTTTAATATAATCCAGAATTTGGTACATTAAGAAAAATTGTACTTGGTTCAGAACTTTACTAATAAAGATTCATCAGTGCATAAAATTGATTCAGCATTTGCGTGGTCTGCATACTATAATACAACACAACTTTTTCAGTCTGAATTTGTTGGGACTCGATGTGTAGGTCTGTATAAGGATATGTGGTTTCAATAAATGTAAGATGCCGTGTAGGAAAAAAAAAACGGCAATATTCAGATAAATGTTGTCTTAATTTTCTTAATTCAAAGTGATTTATTGTAAATTGTCGACATCTAACTTCTTCACGAGGCTTTCTCCTGTCAGTACTGAACTATTAAATACATGGTTTTCCTTTTCTTTTTCTTCCTTATACTCCAGTAAAAGAATCATCTTAACTTTTAAAAATTGTGCATACACCCACACCAAAGAAGTAATTAAATTTAAAAAAGCTCCATTATCTATGCATCTAATGACAAGAACATACGTTGAGCATTATAGGATAGCTGTTATTTTTAAAAGGGAACATTGAGTTGAGTGGGTTGAGAATTTTTTATTAACAAATTTTTTTTAAGGATTTTATTTATGCCTACAGAACTGGAGTGCAGGCCAGAGGGGCAGGGGCGACGAAAGGATTCACCAGAAACAGAGTGGGGAGGTCCACATTTGAGAATTTTTTTTTTTAAAAGATTTTATTTATTTATTCGTACAGAACTGGGGTACAGGCCAGAGATGCGGAGGATGAGAGGATTCACCAGAGACAGAGCGAGGAGCAGAACAGGCAGATCGACGAAGTACACTGCTGAGGGGAGCAGTGGGCGGGTCAGGAGAGGTCTGCCACGCCATGTGGTCACCTCCGGGGCGGGATCGAACTCATGCGGAAGCGGCTTTAGTTTCTTAGTGTAGTGCTTTAATCCGCTGCGCCACCAGGGAGGGCCCTTGAGAATTTTTTTTAATGGACTAATGCTATGCCGTCCACTACATTCAAAGAGTTTTACATATATTTATATTTCATTTAAAAAGTAACCTGTGAGTTGGCTGCTATTTTCCAGGTGAAGTCACTGCCATACAGAGGGGATACCACTGTTCCCCTGGAATAGGGTATTTATAGTGCAACTTGGGTATGAGTACAGACTGGGTGGTTTTAGAGGCCACTTTTGGGGTCTATACAGCCATAGCGCATGCTCTATCCATAGACCGGACCCAGTGTTCTACCTTCTTTCCCAGAAGCTTCATTTAGGCCTCGCAGCATCCTCGGACATTGCTACATCACCTGCTGGCTGAGGCCCTGGCTTTCGCCCATATGGGCAGAGTCATAATGGGGAGTGGTGACTCCATCTACTACACAGATGTGATTGGGAAATTGGGGGAGAGCTCTGGAGATGTCAGTGGACAGAGAAATTAGTTCTGTCCCATGCAGAGGCAGATGAACAGGCTGTACTTTCCAACACAAGGAAAGAGGAAGTTGTGATGGAGGCCTGTGTTCTATCTGCCTCACTCCTCAATCCTGATCATGTTGTAGCCCAGCACTTACCCTGCCTGCACAGGGCAAAGTGCATTTTCCCTGTTTCTCAGATCTCTGTCTTCTCTCTTTACATTAAAAATAGACATAGCGCCTCTGTCATGTCCTTCCATCTCCCCTCATTGGGTTCAGCCTAGTTCCTGGTATGGAAAATGCACTTGTTCAATGGGTCGGGGCATGAAAATATGATTTGGTTTCCAAGTGAGAAAGTCATTCACAAACATTTCTCTTTTTATGAATCACAAGTGTCCTAGATCACTGCGATTTGATGTAAACAAGTGCTCCTGGAGGGTTTTCCTGAAAAACAGGGCTGAAAGAGCTCTCAATAAAGGCACTAAGAACAAAAGGCAACCCAGAACTCTGCATGTTGTTAGCAACAACAGAAATTAATATTTGAAACAAAAACAATGTTGTAAATATAACAGCTAGAAGTAATGCTTCATTTTACTTTATTTATTTTATGTGTATAGTGCTTACTTTATACGAGGGGATGCCCTAAGTGCTTTACAATTTTTAAATCATTTCCTAAGACTGGTCTGTAAGGTGCTAATCTTTACCACCTGTTTGTTTTCCAATTCCCAGAGCTTCTCCTAGCTTCCCTCTCAGTCACAAAGGTCCTAACTCTGCAGGCTGCATTCCTTAGTCTTCCCTGTCCAGTGGTTTCCGGTTATATCCAAACAATTGGAGGCACTAATGCAAGATTAGAAAGGAGACAAAAGGAGAAGCCAGCAGATTTCTCTCCCCTCTCAGTTTAGTGCTTGACTCAGCAGACACTGAACAGACTGGCAGGTGTTCCTTGTCTTCTAAACCAGAGAAGATGGAATAGAAGCAAGCAGGCTACTTTGTGAAACGTGAAACAATACCACCACCTAGAGGGGAAAATCCTGATAGTTTTTACAAGGAAAGGCTAAAAAGATCGCTTAAAGGATGCAGCGTCACTGTTTAAATGGCTGTATTTCCCATACAGTGAAATACATCTTGCTGTACATTGAGCTTTCTTTTCTGGAGTGAATGATTTTTAATAAGCACAAGGTACATGTCTTCTAGGACAGGACTGTATTTTTGCCACTTGCAATTTTTTCCTCTGGGCGATATTCCTTCCAGGCTTCCACTTCAAATGTTGGTAAAAATTCATCTTTAGCCCAGTTTTTAGTTATACAGTTCACACTCCCCTGGGCTATCGCATTCAGAGTCACTCTTATAATTAAGAGTCGTCATGTGCTCTTTATGTTTGCGGGCTCTCCCTGGTGACACAGCAGATTATAGCACAACACTGAGAAGCTAAAGTCACTCAGTGCAAGTTCAATTCCCATCCAGGAGGTGACCCACATGGCAGACCTCTCCTGTCCTGCCTGCTGCTCCCCTCAGCAGTGTACTTCGTCGATCTGCCTGTTCCACTCCCCACTCTGTCTCTGGTGAATCTTTTTACTGTCCCTGTGCCTCTGGGCTGTACCCCAGTTCTGTGTGCATAAATCAATAAATCTAAAAAAAAACTATATATAAAAAAGACTTCCTTTAGATGACACAATCAAGTAATAGCTGCCTCAGAACTAGACTCAAGTCTCAGAACTTTGCTATATGACAGGTGATGGAATTGAGATAGGAGAATGTCCTTATTATATATCTAATTTGTTGATTTATTAGAACCAGAACCTGGACCTCTTGATACCTGCTTTAGCACTGTTCATGTTATATCATTAAAACATGTCCTACTGGGCTCTCCCTGGTGGCGCAGTGGGTTAAAGCACAGCACCAAGAAGCTAAAGCCACTTTAGCATGAGTTCAATCCCCACCCCGGAGGTGATCCACAAGGCATGGCAGACCTCTCCTGACCTGCCCGCTGCTCCCCTCAGCAGTGTTCTTCATCAGTCCGCCTGTTCTGCTCCTTACTCTGCCTCAGGTGAATCCTCTCACTGCCCCTGCATTTCTGGCCTGTACCCCAGCTCTGTATGCATAAATAAATAAATCTTGAAAAAAAAAACTTTATGTTTTAGCTTCTGCCAGATTTTTACTCAAGTCCATGTTCTAGATCCAAATTCAAGGCCTATCTTCACCCAATGCATTTCAAGCTTTACGCTTTAAAGCTAGAACTCAGCATATTTCACCCCAAATCTTTTCCTACTCTTCCTAGAATATATTGTCAATGAGTGAAATTCAGAAATTCAGATTCTGTTGTCTTGATTTATTTCCAGATACCGCAGGAAAAGAGGATAGCTGTCCCTGACCTGGTATTTCCTGGGTGATGTCACTGCTCTCCTCTGCTCCTGGAACTCACCAGCCCCTGGGACTCTTCACTGCCTTTCTGTGAGTGCTTCCTAAGTGTTTTAGCCAAAGCTACTGTCAGCTTAGTATGGGCGGCCATGAACGAACTACCAATGAGTAGAGAACACCCCAGCCCAGTCTACTTTCTGTGTTTCTCCTTAGCACTCACACTATTGCCACATTAGCTCACTCCTGCCACCACATGTGATGGGTTTCTCCCCACACCAACCAAGGCTAAGACACCAGCTAGTTTTCCTCTAATTTAGCTAACGTTTGACTTTCTCTAGATCCTACAGGTTGTTACTATTCCAAGACTGCCCCCCACCCCCCACCCCAGCTTCCTGTTTGGGATGAAAAATAGGAGTGTGGGCCCTCCCTGGTGGCGCAGCCGGTTAAAGCACTGTACTAAGCAGCTTAAGCCACTTCCGCATGAGTTCGATCCCCGCCTGCCCCGGAGGTGACCACATGGTGCGGCAGACCTCTCCTGACCCGCCCGCTGCTCCCCTCGGCAGTGCACTTCGTGGATCTGCCTGTTCTGCTCCCCACTCTGTCCCTGGTGAATCCTCTCACCCTCTGCATCTCTGGCCTGTACCCCAGTTCTGTATGAATAAATAAATAAATCTTAAAAAAAAAGAAAATTAGGAATGGTGGGTCCCCAAGTCACCCACAAATCTGTCTGACTTGGCTATAAATCAGGGGTCCTGTGACCCTCCTCCCTGGATTCTATTATTTGCTAAAACAGTTCACAGAACTCTGGAAAATTTTCTAAAATTATCAGCTCATCAGAGGATATGATAAAAGACACAGACCAACAGTCGGATGAAGAGACCTGTGGGGAGAGGCTGCTCCAATACAGAATGCCCAGGGGGAAGTTTGTCTACTGCCCTCCAGGGCATCACCTGCAGGTCCCGGCCCTGCACCTGTCACCAGACTCAGACTTGGTCCTCCACTGATGGATGGCCTGAGCCCATGTTTGGCTCCCTGACAGAATGATCCCCAGACCCAAAGAAGTGTGATCTTCGAGTTCACCAAGGGTTCGTTCCTGGTCCAAGGCGTTTCCACAAAACCCTGCAGGATCTTCTTAACCACTGGACCTTCCCTTCTTTTCGCGGGGTTCCAGGGAAGAGTCTGTCTTCTCTTTCGCAAAATGGGACGAACAAGAGCCCACTTTACAGGGCTGTGATGATGGATTCAACCCAGCATGCTTGCAAAGTGCTTATCACAACGCTTGCCACTGGCACAAGATGAGACTGTTCGGTGGGCGAGGGCATGGGGGTATTTGCTGAGTTGGCTCTGGGGGTGCGGGGCGGGGGCGGAGCCGGGCGGTGGAAACGGAAGGGATCGGCGCGGGCACCTGCCCACCTGCAGCTCTACTCCCTCCGATTGCCACGAAGGCAGGGCCGGGGAAGCCCGGGTTTCCTTCCGCAGCTCCAGCCCCACTGTGGGTGCCAGAAGCCTGCGGGCTCCGCCTCGGAGAAACTCCCGCTCCGCCCCGGAAACACGCCCCCTCGGGTTGGCGCGCTTTTGGAGCCAGCGGGCTCTATTTCTGGTCGGTTTCGCCGTTCTCGCCGCTGGAGGTTTTGGCTTTCCCGCGCTATATCGGTGCCCCCCCCCCCAGACCCGGCGCGGCCATGAAGAGGACCCGAGAGGAGGTGGACGCCACGCTGGAGATCGCCAAGCTGAATCCCGACGAGCTGCTGCCGACGGTGCACTGCCTGGGCTTCGGCCCGCGGGCCAGCGGCGCCGCGGCGGGCGACTTCTGCCTGCTGCAGCTGGAGCCCGCGCTGTGCCAGCAGCTGGAGGCCGGACACAGGTGAGCCCTGGCTGCCGCAGCGTGAGCCGCCTGCCCACCGTACCTGCAGGGAAACGCTGATCGAGGAAGCTGAACCAGAGAGTAGCCTTGGTTTGGCTCCGGCTGGGGGTTGGGGCCAGCACAGCTGTCTGTTGGCCCATTCTCAGCCGCTGCACCAACTGACCTTGCAGGCTGGTGTCAGCTGAAACAAGACTAAAAATAGAACCTTAGTGAGATTTTGAAGACCTCAATCCCTGACCTCAGGGATGCCAGGGACTCCAAAAACACGTGGCCATGAGCTTTTCCCAGCCTTTTGCACAAAGTTTTAGGTGGTGACCTTTGGCCTCTTGACCGCTTTGTATCTTGCTTACCGTTGTTTAGTTATTTTTCTGCTTTGGTGCCTATATTGCCTATTCCCTGCTGTGTAGGAGGGTTGTCTAGACACAGCCACCCGGCTTCATGTTAAATCTCACAAGTTTAGAGGATTTGAGAACTGTTTATAATGAAGATGTTCCATGGAGCCTCAGTCAACCGTCTTTTCTTTCCCATTTTCCCAGTCTTGTGATTCGTGGTCATGAAGACGACCAGGCTGTGGTGTGCAGTAAAGACAAAACATACGACTTGAAAATAGCAGACACTTCCAATATGTTGCTTTTTATTCCTGGTTGTAAAACTCCAGACCAGCTAAAGATGGAAGAAATACAGGGTAACATTATTCACACTGAGGTACTGTTTTCAGTCTCTGATTTATATCCTAATGAAAAGGACATCACATGTGCTAATTGTGCTTTTAAACATTTAGGTATGAAATGAATATTCACAGGGAAGCTAAGATATATTTTGTAATTTCTAGATCTTTGGTTTTTCAAACAATTATTGGGAATTAAGAAGATGTAGACCTAAATTAAAGAAGCTAAAGAGACTTTTGATGGAAAATACCTACGAAGGACCTGACAGTCAAAAAGAAAAGAATTCAAATTGCTCAAAAGTAAGGCTTTTGTTTTTATTTTTAAAAAGATATATTTATTTATTTACTCAAATAAAAACTGGGGTACAAGCTAGGGTGTGAGGTGGGAGGGGAGGGCGGTGAGAGTGGGGAGCAGAATAGGTGGACTGACTGAAATACACTGCTGAGGGGAGCAGTGGGAGAGACAGGAGGTCTGCTGTGCCATGTGGGTCACTCCCTGACCAAGGATCATATTCATCCCCTAACTGGTGCTGCGGAGAACTTCGTAATGCTGAGACTTAACCTCTTGTACCACCGACTAGTCCTTATTGTTTTCATTTTTTAAGTGGGAATTTGAAAAGTTAGCACTATAAGTAGAGGAGATAGTCTTAATTTTTCAAGTTTATATTATGAAAACTTCTAACACACCCAAAAGTAGATAGAACAGTATAATAAATTCTATATATTCATCTGTTAGTTGAACATTTATTAACATTTTATTTCTTCTCTTTTCCTGCTTCTTTCCATCCTTGTGTGTGTGGGGGGTGTGTTTTAAAACAAATCCTAGATATCATGTTTTTATTTATGTAACTGAAAGCTTCTCATGTTCCTAAATATGAAGTATACTTTTAGAGGCTAATGTATAATTAAAAATTTATTTAGGCACTCTTGAGAGACGGCATCTTGAAAGTATTCTTCTCCAGTGTCAAAATTGACTATTCCTGGAAAAAATATAGATCAAGAAAAAAGATTAAATTTTTAATGGAATTCAAACTTACAAATCTCTGCTGGTATTCTAAAGATTGTATTAAAAGTTCTCTCTTTATTGACTGACTTAACGTTAACCCTTTCTCATTTTGATGACAAATGAGGTAATAAGACCTATACCAAGTAGTTCATTCATTTTAAAATTGAACAATTAAACAGTTTTTAATCCATTCCAGAATTGTGTGATCATCCCCATGATCAACATCAGTAGTTTGTCACCCCCAAAAGTAATCACATCTCCTTTTAGTATATCTGGCAATCCTGTCTTCTCCTTCCCTAACCTTAGTGTTGGGCAATCACTAATCTACTTTCTGTCTCTAGCAACTTGCTTATTCTGGACATTTCTTATAAATGTAACCTTTACATTTTTAACATCATGTTTTTCTGGTCCGTTATAGCATAGATCAACACCTTTTTTCCTTTTTTACTGCTAAATAGCAACTCCATTTTATAGATCACAACACATTTTATTCATCCATCATCCATTGGTGAACATTTGGGTAGTTTTCACTTTTTGATTATTGCGAATAACACAGCTGTGAATATTCATGCGCAAGTTTTCAACAATCTTGTGTTTTCATTCTCCTGAGTATATACCTAAAAGTGGGATTGATGGGCCCGTTGGAGGATCTACTGGGCTGTTTTCCAAGGTGACTGCCTCATTTTACATTTACATCAAATGAGGGTTCCAGTTTCTCCATCCTTGATAACATTTGATATTATGTTTATGTTCCACGGGAGTGGCTTTGAAGTGGCATCAGTGTGGTTTTGATGTATACTTCCCTGTGGGTATCAAACATCTTCTCATGTGTTAGTGACGTTTTATCTTTGAATGTCTACTCAGGAATTTCTTTGCCTAGTTTTTAAATAGGATATGTCCAGTTGTGCTGCGATTGTCTTTTTATTCTTGAGTTCTTTATGTGGACTAAATCCAAGTTCCTCATTAAATTGATAACATACAAATATTTTCCTCCATTCTGTGGGCTGTCTTTTTACTGACTTAATTTTTGTAATTGTGATAAAATGTACATAACATAAAGTTTATCATTTTAACCATTTTATCATTAAAGACATACGGCTCTTACTGGCATTAGGTACATTTATGTCACTCTTCAGCCGGCACCATCCAGTGAACTCTCTACTTTACCAGTCCCATTCAGCCTCCCATCCTTGGGCAAACACTATGCAAATTTCTGTCTCTATGAATTTGACTACTTTACCTCTTATAAGTGGGTTTTATATTACATGCCATTTTATGTTTGTCATGTTTTCAAGTACAAAACATTTTCATTTTGATGATCTCCAAATTGTCTGTTGTTTTCTTTTGTTGCCTACGCTTTTCATGTCATGGCTAAGAAATCATTGCCAAATGCAGTATCATGAAGATTCCCCCTGTATTTTCTTCTATGACATCCATTGATTGGTGTAATAATCATTATACATTAAAATTAGATGCTGAGGTAGTACATAAATAAGACTTTAACCTGTTCTATACATTTATTCTCCTAATTTCAAAAGAAATTGAAAAAAAAAAAACATGCTTTAAAAATTAACACTTTTTCTCTTGTTTCAGTATACAACTGAAGATTTACTTGATCAAATTCAGGCAAGTGAGGAAGAAATAAAGGCCCAATTACAAGTTCTAAATGCCTGTGAGATTGGAGGTAGCATTGCTTACTATTATTATTACTAATGATAGAGTTGGTCATTATATGAGAGAGAGAAGTTTTTAGATAACTTTACCCTGTGGCATATTGCTTATTTCATATTTGGAGCTCTAAGGTAGTATTTGTATTGGGGGGAATATTCATCTTCACCCAAAGAAGACAGGGTGTGACTCTGAATTTTAATTACACCTTATGGGCTTATTACTTTGGATTAAGTAAGTAGCAATAGGAGAACCATGTTAGATCAAGAAATGTTTTTAAATATTGGGTCATTTAATCCCTTCATTATTATTATTTTAAATTTTGTTGTTCATTTTTGTCAAGTGAATGGTTTCTCCCCTCAGATGTAAACCATATAGTTACCCTGCCACCATATCACCCCATGAACCATCACCATATTCATTTAGTGTTCTTCCCTCCCCCTTCATTATTTTTAACAGATGAAATAACTAAAAACTAGGAAGGGAAACTGACTTGTCTAGGGAGAATAAAGTACAAAACCTAAGAACTTCAAATTCAGAATTAATTTAGTAACTACATTGTATTTGCAATTGTATGCAAGATAGGACCCTTTTTTTTCCTGAGATGAATGTATTTTTGAATATATATTGAACATTTTACATAGCTTCTATAAAAGATGTACATCTTGGTCTCTGGGGCTGATGGACAAGGCCAGCAGTGTCTTCTTTAACGTTTGACTGGCTTCTGATGTGAAATTGAGGGTTTTTTTTCCAGCATCTGGGCTTGGAGTAGATGCTTCTATGTAATTTTAGCTCACTTATGCTCATCACTGAAACAGCTTAATTCTGCACCCAAGTGTTAGGAACCCATTTGTGTGGGTTGATAAATGCCCTATTTGATTTGCTCATAGCTTTCCAAGCCATGTGAGCTTTTGTGAGATCTTAACTCTCAAATTCTGCTAATAAAGCAACTATACAAAACTTTAGAAATAAGTAGAATCACAACTTTTTGTTGTCCTGCAGATTGACGAAGTACACTGCTAATGGGAGCAGCTGGGGGGTCTGGAGCAGTCTGCCATATCCTGTGGGTCACCTCTCTGGCCTGGGATCTAATTCGCTGCAGTAGTTGTGGCCAGCTTCGTAATAAATGCTATGCTTTAACCTATTGCACTGCCAGGGAGGACCCAAAACAATGGATTTTTAATGCAGCCCTTGGCATTATTCACCATTCTATAGGGATGGATAAAATCTTGGTGGGGATGATTGCATAAATTATTCCTAGCTCTCTCAGTTTTACATGACACATTCCATTCTTTTAATACTGCCTTTAGTTTTTCAGAATAACAATTATTGGATGTGTTTAATGTGTATTTGATTGATTTCTTCAGAGAGTTTGGTAGTGCCTTCAATTATAAAGTGGCATTTCATCTTCTTTCCCTGGGACAAGGGAAAGTATCTTGATGTTCAATCTTTATTTTGCTGCTGACCCACGTTGTGTCTCTGTCTCTCGACTGTATGAGTAGGAACATCCCTCTATAAGATAGGTCTGATGAGAGTTTATCTCTGGCAGTGTCCACAGTGGAGATTGCCTTATGGGATATGGAAGCTATGACTTTCATCTCCTTTGTATGATATTCTGATGAAATGACTGTCCCTGCTGGAGGTTTCTGTTTTTCCACTTTGTTTGACAATATTGTTATGAAATAATCAAAAATATCAGTTGAAAATCAAAATATTAGTTACATGTAAATCATCCTTGACAAGACACTTGAAGTCCCCCTCTAGACTCATTTGAAATAATTGGAACAAAATATAAAGAGACAATTGTTTATAAAGAAAGTTTAGACTTCAGTGTCTGTTGTTTGCAGTGGGCAAGTATATGCTTCTACATAATGAGTGTTTTCTAAGTAATTTGCTTAACATTTATATGGTAAAAATGACTTTTGGAATTCGTAGGATATTGGAGAATCCTGGATTTTGATTATGAAATGAAACTTCTCAATCATGTCACTCAGCTTGTGGATTCAGAGTCTTGGTCTTTTGATAAAGTCCCTTTGAATGTGTGTCTTCAAGAGCTTGGCCCACTGGAGCCAGAGTGAGTGTCTGTTGTTTCTTGTCCCTCCAGATCTCCTTAAAGGGAAGAATGTTGTTTTTCCAGGCCAGAGCTAAACCCAGGCCATAGACCTCATATTATGTCTTAAATAATTTAAAAAAGTATCCAAGACTTGGCAGTTGTGGTCATGGGGAGGAATAACAATGTGCATCATCTTTTTTTCACTCTGCCATAAAAATATAAAAAATAATTATGCTGAAGTTGTTATAATATTAAATATGCTCATTTAATTCATAAAGATGTTTAGCATACGATAATAAAATGCACTCACCACTGACAACAACATGGATGGAAATAGAGAGAATTATGCTAAGAAAATAAGTCAGAAGGAGAAAGACGAATATTGGATGGTTTATATGTAGAAAACAGAAACAAAGGGTTGGATCAAGAACATCCTAATAACATAACCTAGGAATCTGACTGTAGAATATAGAATTTAGGCTACCAGAGGGAGAAGGGGAAGGGACACAATATACTGGAGGGTGACTTATGGGTGCCTTGTGTTGGATATGGTTCGGTGGCGTATGTCTGAGGGAGCTGACCCTGTACCCCTAAATCACATACAGCAACATTGTAAGCCAAAGTTGCCTCAATTAAAAATACAAAGTCTGGGCCCTCCCTGGTGGCGCAGCGGGTTAAAGCACAGCACTGAGAAGCTAAAGCCACTTGAACATGAGTTTGATTCCCGCCTGCCCCGGAGGTGACCCACATGGCGTGGCAGACCTCTCCTGACCCGCCCGCTGCTCCCCTCAGCAGTGTACTTCGTCGCTCTGTCTGTTCTGCACCCCACTCTGTCTCTGGTGAAGCCTCTCACTGCCCCTGAGCCTCTGGCCTGTACCCCACCCAGTTCTGTATGTACAAATAAATAAATCTTTAAAAAAATTAAAAAAAAATACAAAGTCTGGTTTATAGTATCTTTCCAGTGTACTTTAGTATGATTAGCAACCAAAATCACTTAGATTTCAAATCTCAACTTTATATCTTAGCTTCTAGGTAGCAGTGGGGTTTGAAACTTAACACAAGGCCTCCCTGGTGACTTGGGAGGCTCAGCACTGTCTAAAACTATGGCCAGCCACTGTGACCTGAGTTGGATCCCAGCCAGGGAGCTGACCCACACGGCATAGCAGACCTCTCCTGTTTCACCCACTGCTCCCCTCAGTAAATCTGCTTGTCCTGCTTCCCATTCTTTCTCTGGTAAATCTTAGGTCTCACACCCTGGCCTACATTCCTGTTGTTGTATGCATAAATAAATAAAAATCTTAAAATATAATCAAGTTGTTGATGACTTTTTTTTTTTAAGTATTTATTTATGCATACAGAACTGCAGGCCAGAGGTGCAGGGGTGGTGAGAGGATTCATCAGAGACAATGGGGAGCAGAACAGGCCAACTGACGAACTACTCAGCAGGCAGGTCAGGAGAGGTCTGCTGCGCCATGTGGGTCGCCTCTGGAACATGCGGGGCTCGAACTCATGTGGAAAAGGCTTTAGCTTCTTAGTGCTGTACTTTAACCCACTGCACCACTAGGGAGGGCCCGTTGATGACTTTTTAAATGTCTGTTTTCAATTTTTCAGGGAAATGATCGAACACTGTCTTAAATGTTATGGAAAGAAATATATTGAGGAAGGTACGATCTGGAATGTATTCTGATGGGTATTTTAATTCTTTTACATTACTCTTGGTATGCCTTTCTGAAGTTTGTTCATGTTAAAAATTAAAACTCTGGATTGTGAGAGGTAAGTTGTATATAATTCTGTGAAATTGCATTGAAGGAAACAGTTGTAATGCATTTTATTATAAGAAGACAAAATGAAGAGCTCTGATGCTTTTTCCTTAGGGGAAATATATTTTGAATTGAATGCTGATAAAATATGCAGAGCAACTGCACACATGCTACTTCAGAATGCAGTAAAATTCAATTTTGCTGAGTTTCAAGAAGTGTGGCAACAGAGTGTTCCTGAAGGATTGATAACTAAGCTTGATCAGCTTAAGGTAATAGCCACAGTGATTGCTACCAGGACTCAACAGGTTATTACCAGGTGGTAATTACATGGGTGGATGGAAGGGTGATTGGATGGATGGATGAAAGGTTGGTAAAGTATGAAAAAGGAAAACCATCTAGGTACCTAACTACTAGCCTTTATTCTTAATGAAAGAGTACTGGCTAAAGAAATAATTATTGGGAAATGGATAGAAAAATCTGTGATCCTAGCAAATGTATAGTGTTTAATAACTCCTTAGGAGTGGAGTTTGAATAAGGGAATGTAGAGGGTACCAAGCTTTCCAGGCTTTCAAGTTAGTGGAACTGCAGCAGGTTTGGGTGACAAATACAGTTCCTGTATAGGTGTGAATATAGAAGTTCTGTGCTCCAAAGAGAGATTTCAGCTAAAGATACAGATGCTAATGTCATTAGCAAGTAAATGGTGGTTGAAGGTCATGTTAAGGTGAGGTTTCCCATGAATAGTCACAGTGAAACAAGAGGGCTTGGACAGAGGCCCAACATATATTTAGGAAGAGAAAAATAAGATGTGATGTTAGAGAGGAAATAGTAGTCATTATTATTAAAGAGAACAGGGCTAGGGAGATGAAGCCAAGAAATGGCCCACTGATTTGGAAATGATACATCAGTGACATTTAGTGTCTCAGTCAGTTGGTAGTAAAAGACAGATCACAGAAGGGAAAACAAATCTCTGCTTAAAGGAGCTCTGTTTATGCAAAAGGCAATTGTAAATGTGGGTGTTAAGTTTTATGTAGCTGATACTTTAAATTCCTTGAGCGAAGATGAACCTAAAGATAGATTAATAAGTCTAATTTATACCTTAAAATATTTAAACATTCAAACATAGATCATTTTTTAACTGTCCCTTTCTTCTCTTTTCTTATAGGGTTTAGCATTGGTAGATAGACAATCACAACCAGAAATCATATTTTTGCTAAAAGTAGATGATTTACCTGAGGATAACCAGGAACGTTTTAATACTCTATTTTCTATAAGGGAGAAGTGGACAGAAGAAGATATTGCTCCATATATTCAGTAAGTAATTTATTAAAAAATGAATTTTGAGTATTATTTCTATAAAGTGGCATAGGGTTTCAGATTATTAAGAAACATATTTTTTAGAATCTTCTTAGAAAAAAATGTTTTTAAAACTGTCAAGTAGTGATTCTCTGTCACTCTCCACAGCTACTGATTCTAGAGATGGAATATGTGTCCTTTTACTTTCTTATTACTGGGTTCTTTTTTTTTTCTTTTTCTTTTTTTTAAGATTTATCCTTACAGAACTGGGGTTCAGGCCAGAGGTGTGGGGGTGAGAGGATTCACCAGAGACAGAGTGGGGAGCAGACAAATGAACTGAAATACACTGCTGAGGGGAGGAGCGGGCAGGTCAGGAAAGGTGTGCCACACCATGTGGACCTCCTTGGCTGGGGATCAAACTCGTGTTGCAGTGCTGCAAAAGCTTCATAGTGCTGAACTTTAATCCTTCGCACCAACAGGGAGGGCCTACTGCTGGCTTCCAAAACCACTTCTCTGTCCTTCCTGCCAGCTGCAGCTCTTTGAGGAGCACACTACGTACCCACTGACTCTTTGATTGCTACCTTCTTTGTCCTTTGGCCTTACTTTAACATTTTGGTAGAGACCAGGTTACAGAAGGACAAATTATTTCTGAAGTCACTGTTTACTGGACTAGAAATCTAACATGACCACCTCTTCACTGGTTCTGTTCCTTTAAGTCCTCTCATCTTTTTACCCAGATTGCATTCCTGGCCACTCTAAGTTCTGTGCTTGCCTTATTTCTTGGACTGTCTCCTCGTCAGCCCTCTGGCAAAAATTTACAAAGATTAAGCCCACCTTTTAGCTGCATTTGGACAGCTGAAATTTCTTATAGAAAAGAACACATTAGCTGGCCTCACTCTTGAACTCAAGTGGGTCTCATCAGAATCCCTGGGAAGGCCTCATTTCCTTGTGAAACTTTTCTAACCTCAGAACTTAATTTATGTCTTATGTACTGTTTTTATCCAGAAAAATTTGGGTTTATCTTTTGCTACCTGTCTGAACTCAATTTCCTCATATGTAATATGTGGTTAAATAAGACATCCCTACTCTTAATTTGAAGGTTAATGAGTTAATACATGTAATGTATTTAGTTCTATTACGACTTACTAACCACTCCACATCATTTTTTTTTCTTCTATAAACACACACTAATGTTTATTGGAAAGCTGGATTTAGGAGCGAGAGAAATTACTAGTACTGTGAATATTATTGTTCCCTAAAGTTTTCATGCTACTTGTTTGCCTTTTTATTGTTTTCACAGGGATTTGTGTGGAGAGAAGCAAACAATAGGTGCATTACTTACTAAATATTCCCGATCTTCGATGCAAAATGGAATTAAAGTTTATAATTCAAGAAGACCTATTTCTTAAAAGAGCAAATCTTTTCTTTGGGACAGAAGTTTCTTTACACAATTTTTACTTCTAAGAGAATGATTCTTCAATGTATTTGTACTCAGTATTTTTATATCCCTGCTTTTTCATTTTTGAAGTGTGGCAGGATATTTCTATACCTTTGAGGTTATGTTTGTATTATGTATGTATGTCTGGATTATGTGCACAGGACAAAGACAAAAGAAGGTGTTATTTCTTAGTGTGTCTTTGTAGTCCATATGATTTTATTTTATTTATAGAGAGTTTTGCTTTTTTTTTTTAAGGTTCTTTGGTCAGAATTTAATATCCTAGTCATTAGTATATGTAAAAGTTTCAGAGAACTAGAGAGTAACAGTTTCTTAAAGAAGAATTATTTATTTGCTTAAATATATCTTCGTGAGTTCCCCTTCATTTTCCAGGTTTCATCAAAATAGTCATTAGATAACTGTGATCTGATGAAATCTAATTTGTTCTCTAAACTATTTGCTGTGATGAACTGCTCCAATTTTCTAGTAGAAGTATATAAAATCAGATCTGATCCTACAATCCTATATGAAAAATACTAATAACTAATAGAGCAGTTTATAGTCCTATAGTGGAGAATATTGATATGGGTATTACTAAGAAACTGCAGGGAGCTTGTAGCTGATTTTGGAATGCTTAATAAAGTTCTTTATAGTCTTCTTTCTCGTAACTTGTTTTGTTTAGACAACTTTCAACTCAGCTATGAATCTGTCAACAGGACATTTGGTAGACCTCTGGCTCAAAAAATCAAAGAAAAAAAGTGAACAATCCACAATTAATCAGGATTCGATTGTTACAGAAACTGACACACCAAATGCTAATACATGTATCAAAGTGTTTGTCCTGTGTTTCAAGAAATTTTTATGCACCTGTGTGTATGGTTTATTTTTCAAATAAACACTGAGGCAGCAATGGATTGTGGAGGTTGAGTTAGATTACCTGGGGTCTACTCATGCATTTTATAGTTAAATCGCTGGACTCCAGTGAGCTTAAGGCATCTCTTTACACAGAAAACTTGGGGACATCCCTCTTGGTTGCATGCAAGCCTGATTATCTAACCCCCCAGCCCCAGCCTCATCCATTACAATTTTGGGTTGTGATTCCTAAACACCAACAGTTCTCACTCTGGGTACTCGAACGCAAAAGGGGCGTTATGCGCAAGCCCCACCCACTGCCAAAGGCTTCCTGCTCCGCCCCTAACACCGCCCACTTCCGCTGACGAAGAGGGTCAAAGGTGATAGGCAACATGTCGGCTGACGGTAGATCTCAGCGGTTGCGGAGAGGCGCGTCTCGGTGACAGAATCTCACAGGCTGTCGAGGGGAGCGGGGTCGGTGGAGCGAATTTGAGGCGGCCGCGGATCGGGTGGCGCGCTGAGGTGGCCCCGGGCGCAGGAAGTGACTGTTGGGAGTGCGTCGGAGCGAGGAGAGTGAGGTGTCGGAGCCCGGTAATGCCCGATTGCTCCCCGGGAAGCTGAGAAGACTCCGCGGGATCGCTTCATGCCGCCGACTGGTTTAGAGCCCGCCAGAATGAACAGGAAGAAAGGGGACAAGGGCTTTGAGAGCCCACGGCCATATAAATTATAAGTATTTTTTCCCACCTCTTTCAGATTTTGTTTTCATTAATTGTACTTTATGATTGCTTTTGAAACTGACTTGATGGGCTGGGAAATGTAGAGAAACTTAGAACTCACTCGCTGTGATGGAAATGGTGTTTGTGAGGGCGCCTTATGAGTGAAAGTACTCAGCAGATTTCATGTCCCTTGCAGTTACCAAACCGTCCCCTTAAAGTTATGTATCAAAAGAGATCTATTTTCGTGTCTATTGCTACATTAAATGTAGCAAGTAGTTACCTAAATGTGTAGGGGTTTAAAGTGAAAGATGGGTATGACTTTGAGCAGCTTAATACTGAATCCTTCTTTATACTTGGATAGAATTATGCTTTCATTTAATAGAAATATTTATCTTTTATATTTTTTAATATACAACCCATCAGGTCGTGTGCATCAACAACATAAACTTCCAACGAAAATCTGTTGTGGTAAGTATTCTTTACAACTATAAGCAGAAACAAGTCTGCCCTTTATATAGTGCCTTGGAGACTTTCCCTTCTAGACAACTGTGTTACCTGTATAGGGGAGAATTAGAATTCAGGTCTGTGTGACTTCAAGATCCTTGACCTTCCCACTATACTGATTGTCTCCTGTTTTTTCCTGTTTACTGATCCTTCTCATTTGTTGTGGAATACGGAAATCTTATTACCAAGCATTTTAGAATTGTGCATGAAACAAGAATGAGCCCATGGTAAGATTTCTTCACGAAAAAAAGTTGATTAAGATTAGTGCACTCACTGACTTAGTTTGGCTGCTAAGAAATCAGTTTTGGTTTTGATCCTTGGCTGACTTGGCTTAGGTGACACTGTTTTATAGAGGAGTTTTAAATGAATTGTTTGAAATCAATGCACCCCAGACCCCAATATGGATTGTTGATATATTTCACTCTGGAAAAGCACTTGACAACCCAAGTTGTCAAGTTCTCTTTCAGGAGAACATGTATTAAACCAACTTCAAATACTAGTAAGATTTTTTTTGGGTGGTAGCATCAACTTTCCTTTCAAGCATTTGCCTTTGTATACATATGTTAGCTTAATATTAAGCTAAAAGTAAATGAATAAGTAAAAAGTTACTTTTTCGCAGGAATCATGGATTCTTAGATTATAAGGATTGTAAAAGATTTGTTCTGTCTAATCTTATTAAGAAGTTTCTCTTTTAATTTTCTTACATAGAGTTATTTACCTTTTCCCTCACAGAAGGATGCTTTAGATATAGTGTGTGAAACTGGATAGCAAAGATACTAAAATTGGGGAGACCTGTTAAAAGGTTACTGAAGTAATCTAGAAAAGAAATGATTTATCTCTGAATGAATACATCTTTAGTGAAGATGATATGGAAACAATTGACAGAACTTACCGAATTAGTGAACATTTATTGACTACCTACTTGTACAAGACTGCCTTCTAAAATGTGTATTACTTAATTCAATCTTCTCAATAACTTCATGAGGTGGATAATATTTTAATCCCTATTTCTGTAAATCAGCTAAAAGAATGAAGGATCAATAACTTTTTAAGGATGTAAATTTAGCAAATGACAGGGCTGTTTTTAATCAAGGATGACTTAAGAGTCTCCTTTCTTTTGTTCCTATAACTCTGCTCTGGCAAAGTAACAGACAGAAGGTAGCTGTATCTAGATTCCCCACTGGAAAAACTGAATGGTGTATAGGATAAAGCTATGAAAATTTTCTGTTCATTTTAGAGCCTTTCCATATTTTTGTTTTGAGTACAACAGTTTTCAAGCCAGGATATTAAAATCACTGAACATATATTTTGTGTTTCTTTTGTTAGTCTTACACTTGATTAATGTAAGAGAATGGGAGAGTGGCAGGTAACGGAGTTAAATGTACTTAGCTGTCACTCATGTGGTAGCAACACATTTCAGATAGATTGTCCCCACGTGCCCACTGGTAGAACTGTATGTGGTCATGGAAGAGGCATGTTAGCGGTGATTAGTACTTAGGTACTGCATTTGGGAGGCGAATTTTCTTAGTCACTAATCTAGTTCTGATTTTTCTTCTAACATTTTTTTCCTTTTCCCTTGTTTGGGTTCAAATACTAGACCTTCTTGTGTTTGATTGTAGTAGGTATTTTAATTTATTCCTAGCAGATGGTTAGTTTTTCACTGATCATGAGTATGAAAAACCAAGATAAACAAACATGTAAATAAAATGTACATAATTCATACCCATTTAATCACTAGGATAGCCATGTTTGAAATGAACATACTTGCAGAACACCTAAATGTTTGTAGCAATTTGGGATGCGGATGTAGTCTAAGTAGTAGAAATCAAAGAAATATTTTCTAAAACATGCCAATCTTAACTACAGTGAAATTATTATTCTTTCTCTTTATAGGGATTTGTGGAACTGACGATATTTCCTACAGTTGCAAACTTGAATAGAATCAAGTTGAATAGCAAACAGTGTAGAATATACCGAGTAAGGATCAATGATTTAGAAGCTGCTTTTATATATAATGATCCAACCTTGGAAGTTTGTCATAATGAATCAAAACAGTAAGTTATATATACTTTAAACAGTGATATCTCTGACTTCATTGTTGTTTTTCATATGATTGGATATCTTCTCTATAAATTTTTCTTACATTACTACTAAAACTTAGGTCCTCAATCTTGTTCTTTAATTTTACTTCTGTTGCTTTTACCAGTTTGAACATTTCACTCAATAATTTTGTCACTTGTGCACACACAATATGTTTTAGTGTTTCTCTTCTTAAAAGAAAAAATATGGCATGACTTTTGACAACCCATTATACACTGTATGTAAGTGGTTGGATCCCTTATTGATGATGGTTAAGAGATATGGATAATTTTTTTTTTTAACTAAGCCACAATGACTCAATGTCAGTTGTTTTAATAATATAACTTAGAATTACTATTAGGATTCTGAGTTTTCATTTAACTAAATCTTCCAACAGGAATTTTCCTTATCCTACTATACCTCCTGCTTGAATTGAAGAGCTAACTATATCTTAAAGCACCCCCTTTATTATTTCTGAATCCTCCAGAGTTCTTTATTTCATTAAGCACATTCCATTTTGATATGATAATTCACAAACTTATCTTAATTAAATATTATTTTCCCCTAAACTTTCTCTTTTCCATGCTATAGAATTTTAATACTCCCAGTCATTCCTCATGTAAAATTCTTTGCAAATTTGTTACTAATTTCTTAACCAGGATACTCCCTGAATTGTCTTGTGTTTTCTTAAATGTAGTTAACCTAGAACTAGGTATACTTCATGCTATTGGGACTAATCAGCACATTCATAACAGTTGAGCCATTTTATCCTTTATCATTATTTCTAGTGGCTTGAAATTCCTTAGTCTTTAACAAATAACTACTTTAAGAGTAGTTAGCTCAAGTTTGAGTTTGTGGTCAATGAAGCCACCTAAATAAAACCTGATAAGGTAGGTTTTTCTCTGAGCAACCTGATTACATGTGTTTGATCAAATTTTTTTTAGGATTTAAAAAAATAGTCATCCTCATTAATGTTGGTGTTAGTCCCGTTTCTAGAAAATGATTTTTTTTTTCTTAGCTGGCTTATATAAGTATATTTCTGTATATAAACTATCAAAACTAAAAGCAAGAAAATGAGTGTTGACAAGATGTAGAGTAACTAGAACTTTGTTAGTAAAGATGTGTGTTGAAATTTAATGCATACTTACTCTGATTGACAGTCTCACTCCTAAGTATTGGAATGACATAGATTGCAACAAAAATGTTTCAGAAACAAACACAATTGTGTTCAGATGTTCACCAAGAAAATACAGCATGTGAAATAGTCAAAAGTGGAAACCACCTGAAAAACCACTAGTTTCATACTACTGGGATTCTAATCAGTAATGAAAATGAATACCCATGATCGCATACAACAGTGTGGATGAACCTCATTAACTTAATGTTGAGTAAAGAGGTCAGACACCAAAGTACATGTATTAAGCTGTTAACCCATTGACAGTAAATGCCAGGATAACAAGTTACCCTTGGTGGTGGGAATAGGCTTGGTTAGTGAGAAGATAATGCAGGAGACTTACTGAAAGGCTTGCAAATTTCAATTGTCTGGGTTTTTCAGTGTGGAAAGTTTATCTAATGGATACTTACACTGTATGTACCTCTCCGATATGTATTATACTTTTATTTCTATATACAAGAGCTGGGGTGTAGACCAGAGGTGGGGTGAGGGTGGGGGTGAGAGGATTCACCAGAGACAGAGTGGGGAACGGAACAGGCAAACTGACTGAAATACACTGCTGAGGGGAGCAGTGGGCAAGGCAGGAGAGGTCTGCTGTGCCATGTGGATCAGCTCCCTGGCCAGGATCTAACTCAGGCCACAGTGCCTATGGATAGCTTCATAGTGCAGAGACTTAACGCCTTGCAGGGAGGCTCCCATAAACATTTTTTTAAATAGAAAGTTTACAGATGTACGATGTTTTACAAAATCTGTACCTATATTTTAAGAAGCATGTATTTTTTCTTTTACAAAGAATTAACAGATTCTTTTAATTAAATATGGATGTTTATAATGGTTCTCAGAATAAATTGTTTTCATTGCCTTAATTCAAAATTGTTTCAGTACCCCACTTCTTATATTTAAGCTTTGTTTCAATGAGAAGGACTGGACTTTGGGGACTATAGTGGTTATAGGGCTAGGGCACATTAATATTTTACAGTCATAATTATTCTGGAAATTAGAAACACACTGCCCTGTCATTTTTTACTTTCATGAGGTTATTTTGAAAGGAAACATATTTGATTCATGTTATGATAGAAAACACTGAAATCCAAACCCTCAGAAGATTTAATTCATAACCGACTTCCCTGAAGTTCCGTTTATAATGACTCAACATTTTATTTGGCCCATTCTAATTTTTCTCAGGAGATGAGGAAATTAAGTGAAAATAATTTCCCATAAAAACCTAATCAGTTTAATATGTTATATTTAAATTTGTGTTTTTTATTTTTAAATAATAATTTTTCATTTTAGAAATTCATAGGTAAATTGGGCAAAATACAAGTTCTTCAAGCAATCTCAAATTTCACGTCTTATAACTTTGTTGAAAACAAGTTGCAACCTATAAGCATACAAAATCGTCTTTAAAGATGAATGGCATTTTAACTAAGCGCTGGCAAGGTTGGAACAACTGACACTTTCACATATTGCTATTCAGAGTACAAAATATGTTATGGCTATTTTAGAAAACAGTCTGGCAGATTTATACAAATTTTATCATACATTTACCTATGACTCAGCAGTCCCTTTCTTGCATGAAGATTATATTCACATTGAAGCCTATATACACATGTACGCAGCAATGATAACCAAAACCTAGAAACAACCCAGATGTCTTTTAGTGGGAAAACGAATGAATAGTCTTTGGTACAGGCTATGTAATGGAATACTGTTCATTGTGAAAACAACAGATTATTGGTTCCTGGATGAATTTCAAAGACTTACTGTGTAAGCTTTTTTTTGAGATGGCAGAACTGTTCTGCTTTCTGGTTGTGATAGTACTCACATAAATATATACATGTGTTAAGTTATCATTCATAGAACTGTATGCCAGAAGAAGGTCTTGTTGCTCGTAGTATATGATATTTTTTGAAAGTGTATGTTAAAACAGTTATTGTGGCCCGAGAGTTTTTATAGCTTTCATTTTACATATTTACTAATAGAAATTGTTTGTAAATTGTTAATTGTACTGTGTGAGAAATCTATTAAACTACTTTCAGAATTTTTTGCATTTGTTAAGAAACTTGATTAATGATACACTGTTGTTAAAATACATTGGTAGAGATATGGAGATGGCATTTGAGAAAGGCCTCTGTTAATCTAAGAGTATATGACTTTAGTGTTTTCTTTAGTGACATTTTTCTACCTTAATCACTGTAGAGTATATAAAACTTAGCTAAGTTAAAAATTTGCTAGACTAGGGCCTCCCTGATGGTGCAGGGATTAAATCTCAACACTGTCAAGCTACTGCTGGCCACCTAGGCTAGGGTGTAATCCCAAACCAGGTTGCTGACCCACCTGGTACAGCAGACCACTCCGTCTAACCTGCTGCTCCCCTCAGCAGTGCATTTCTGTCGATTGACCTGTTCTGCTCCCCCCTCTTTCTGTGAATCCTCTCACTCCCCATACCTCTGTCCTACACCCCAGTTCTTATATGCAAAAATATGTGGAAACTTTAAAAATAAAATATTTGCTAGGCTAACATTACTTGTAGAATTTTTTAATAACCAGATGGCACAGATAAAGATATACAAGAATATGACTCATAGTATTTGTGTCTTTCATCTTGTTTTCTTGCTCTTGCCATTCCTTTCATTTAGAATGTTTGTTTCACATCCCTTTGACTGATTTCCCTGAGAAAATATAATATTTGTATATGTATAAGCCATTTTATGGAATTAAATTAGAATATCAGATGAGGAAAATGTTTCCATGTTTTCGAGATAAGACTTAAGACTTCTCTATGTGGTTTTCATCCAGTGGGAAATGAAGTCAAGTAACTACAAGTAAATATTTGCAAATCCTCTGTCATATACAGGATGTAACAGAACCACCCCAAAATTCCTCTCCTTGATTAAGCTTACATTGACATGTAACAGGGAATAGAGGTGGGCAGAATTACATTGTGAGAAAAATAGTTCGCATCTTGACTTTAGACATCATAATTTCTGTTGGACCTCTTAATTTAGACATTTTGAATTTCCATTCAAATTTTTATTAGACTAGTAAAAATTATGCCCTTAAATCTACATACATTTTCATACTTGTATCTGAAACATGTAGTGGCTTTCAATTCCAAAATTAAGGTATGATAATCATAATAATCTCATAGTGTGGTAGCAAGTAGAATATGTATACAAGCATGTTTATGATTGAGTAGTTTATGTCAGGATGAGTAGGGCAACAATTATGTGGCTAAAAAGCATCCTGAAGTATTATGTGAGAAGATATAATGCTTAAAAATAAATGGTGGAGCCATTTAAGAAAGCACTTGATGAAATAGATGACTTATTGTTAAAGTTGTCTCTTTTCTCCCCCAGGAGAAATCTCAATTATTTTTCTAATGCTTACGCAGCTGCGGTTAGTGCTGTGGATCCTGATGCAGGAAATGGAGAACTTTGTATCAAGGTTCCATCAGAGTTATGGAAACACGTTGATGGTAAAATACCAAGTATCTACCGACCCCGACCGTACATTGAAATTATACTGGAAATTTTACATGAAAATTAATGATGTCAAATTGTGAATTAATCAGTTGAAATAATTCAGGAGTTGGAAGCTTTATTTTTTTCCCTCTCTTAAGGATCATTTCATTGTTGTTTTTAAAGAAAAAGTTATAAAAAAATTGAATGATGCAGTTAATATTAGAAAACCCACAGAATATCAAATCAGTTTAGAATTTCAATATCTTAAAGCAGTAAAGATCCTAAAAAAATCATATGGTTCAGTTTCTTCCTTTTGCAAAAGAGTAATCAGACAGAAGTGTAAAGAAAGTCATTGGTCACTAATTAACAGAACCAAGACTGGACTGTAGAGTTCTGCACCCAGTTTGCATACTTTTGAGATCCTCATGCCTTATTTCGAAGTCTGTGTTCTTTTGTATAAAGTTAGAGTCTTATAATAGTTATACTTAGCCTTCTGCCTTTATTTAGCTTTATAAAAATTAACCAAGATAGAGAAGAAAATCTTTCTATTTTTGTTTTCCTAGTTTTGGGGGGGATGGAGAGGGATGGTGAGGACTCTTGAGGGGATTGCCCAATTTAGGGAACAGGCTTTGTGGTATCATTGTTCAGGTATTAGAGATGTATATTTGTCGTGTTTGGGTCAGATAAAAAAACATATGAAAGCAGCATTTTTATTGTATAGAAATCAAATATAACAAAAAACACAATAAATCATGCAAAATATAAGTTCGTGGGTAGTCCTTCCTACCTCTTCTTTCATATTCCTCAGAGTCAACTAGGGTTCACAATCTGGAGGAACGTAATAAGAACATTTTGGTTCGGATCTGAAGGCCTTCTATGATCTTTGTGGAAATTTTGAACTTGATTTTTGGAAACTTTTAAGGTAGTGTAACACTGTTAGTAATGCTACCAGGAGGGTATGGCATGACCAGAAATATATTTTGGAAGAACACAGCTGGCAGTGACTAGTGTTGACTGTAGCTAGGGTGCCACTGGGCCCAGGTGACCGAGCGAAGAGTATAGATGCAGATGTGAAAGCCTGAGCTAGGGTAAGTAGTTCATGCAAACCAGGGCTTTTAATTCTGTGATGTTCAGTATAAATCTTTGCCCTTCTTATATTTATAGATTACTGTTACTTAATTATGCACTTTAATGTATTGATGTTTATATGTATTTATCTGCTGCAGAATTAAAGGTCCTAAAGATACACATCAATTTTTCCTTGGACCAGCCAAAAGGAGGTCTTCATTTTGTGGTACCCAGTGTGGAGGGAAGTATGGCAGAGAGAGGTGCTCATGTTTTCTCTTGTGGGTATCAAAATTCCACAAGGTAGATTATTAACTTTTATATATTTTAATTGTATTTTTCTGTTTATGTAATACATGTATTTAAAGTAAAATGGGCAGTATCAGCTTGATCCCCTAAACTGCTTCAATTCTGGATCTTGTTCCATTTATTACTCCTTTTTAATCCCATCTTCCTCTTCTCTGTCATATAATAAATAATTTGACATGAATTGATAGAAATTGAATAGAAACCTTATGTAACTTTATTAACTGTCTGGCTTGAATTTATACAATGCTTCACATATTGTGAAAAAATAGCTTCCTAATTTATGGAATAGATTCTGAACATTGTGTTCTTTAAAATGATCACCACGTTTTTAGTTTCTAGAAATAAGTCCTACATAAAAACTAATGCAGGGCCCTCCCTGGTGGCGCAGTGGGTTAAAGCACAGCACTAAGAAGCTAGAGCCACTTCAGTGTGAGTTCGATCCCAGCCCCAGAGTTGATCCTCTTGGTGTGGCAGACCTCTCCTGATCTGCCCACTGCTCCCCTCAGCAGTGTACTTCATCAGTCTGCCTGTTCTGCTCCCCACTCTGGTAAAACTAATGCAGGGCCCTCCCTGGTGGCACAGTGGGTTAAAGCACAGCACTAAGAAGCTAGAGCCACTTCAGTGTGAGTTCGATCCCAGCCCCAGAGTTGATCCTCTTGGTGTGGTAGACCTCTCCTGACCTGCCCACTGCTCCCCTCAGCAGTGTACTTCATCAGTCTGCCTGTTCTGCTCCCCACTCTGGTAAATCCTCTCACCACCCC